ACATTATTCCTCTATTCTTACAAATTAACTGGGAAGCAACCTGGCTATATCTAAATAACAACATTAACAGAACCAGCTTATATACAAACTTTACAATTAGCAATAGCAAATTCTTTAAAATTAAACTACAACTTAACATACTATCTACTCTTTTCCATCTTCACAACTTATACCCAGAAGCAATAAATAGCAATAGCTGTATCACATGTCATACACCAGAACACTTACTACATTGGATTCTCTGTCTAAACACTACACTTCTTACTAATCTTATTTATGAAACAATAACAGAAACAATTACTTATATAACTGATATTACTAGCACTCAAATTAATGAACTACAAAGAATATTTTTACAACACAATAGCCTTTCATTTAACAATATAACTCTATAACAAACTAACATTTATACAACATTACAAGGATATGTGTTTAATAGCCTTATTTTATCAATTAGACTATTTACTCAATCACAAACAGAAGTAAAAAATATTACTACTAAACTTTTACATGAGCTGTCTCAAAAAGTTTATAAACAAATATGGAAACCATATTGTACAAAACTGGCACAATGGAAAAACGATAACAACATTCTACAGTATACTAAAAACCAACAAAGAAGACCTACACAAATTAATCATAATGATACATATTATGTTAACAGACATCAATTACAAAATACAACCTGTAATTTATATAAACTATTAAGTTTAAAACACATTGATCCAAATACTTGCCTACCACTTGGTCATGCTTTATGTAAAATTAATTTATGGCTTGATCATTGGATACTTTATAGCTATCCTACAAACAACATTTTATACTATCAAATCTAGATGAGTTTTAACCACTCTAGTAGGTTTGGGTTGCAGATAAATTAGATAGATAACAGCTAGTTTCTTTCTATAGTCTGAGCTTTACTCTTGTAACAAATTTATAATTGGAATAGATTTTGTAATTTATATTCAGAGAAGCCCCTGGAGGCATCTTTAACAAATTAATAAAGTTATGAGCAAAACCTCACCTTAACTCCAAAAAAAAAAAAAAAAAACAACAAAGATATAAAAAGAGAGTTTTCAAGGCAATTCCTGAAGCAAACCAGTACCTTAAAGCAAATAGCAACTGTTGTTGTTAATATATATCCAACACTAATAATTCTTTATTATACAACCTATTACCAAAACCAACAAGGTTAATACCTAATCTAAGACCAACTCAAACTTAATTAAAACTTGCAAGAAGAATTAATAATATCTTAGATATAAGAACAAATAAATCTACAAGACCTTTACCATCTATACCAAATGTCTTAAGACTACCACAAGTGGCACCCAAGACAAATATACTTAAAGGAAGAAATAAATAAAACTTAAAGTAACATCCTTCCTAGGAGAAATAACAACTTTAATCTTACTTATAATAAGACTAATAGTATTTATAATTTTAATAATTATTAACAAAAGGAAACAAAAGAAAAGAACATTAGAACAACAATTAACCTTAAACCAAGCAACAAGAACAGCAATACCAAACATAGAACTAACCAATCAACAATTTGAAATGACATATTAATGACAAATACTTTTATACAAATAACTATACCAACACCAACATTAATAGTAACAGCAACAACTATTCAAGCAACAACTGCAACAACATCACTATTTACAACTAAAAATCTAGCATTCTTTCAAAATCAAAACATTGTAGATATAGTAGCAATAATAGTAACATTAATTATAATATTAGGAATAACATCACTTATAATTATTACCTATATAAAGAACGAAAGAAATCAACTACTTAAACATGACATCTTAAAAAGAAATGAAGATATTGGAATCAAATATAAGCAACAATAACAACTCTTTAATAAACAAATATATAGCCAAAGAATCTTACAAAGAATTAGTACTTGAATAATTATAACCAAAAGAAGAATCTAAATATATTATTAAAGAAGTAAATCAAGAAGTCAAAGAACCAGAAAAAGTAAAACCACTACAAGGAAATTATCTAGTTAAAAAATACTTACTAGAAAGCTGAAAAAAGCAATTTAAATCTAAAATAATCCAAACAACAAACCTTGTCAAACTATAAAAATTAGCTATTGAACTGCAAGAACCAAATGAATTTATTGTAGAAATAGGATTAAAAATTTGAGAAAAAAGAATTAATAAGAACAAACTCTAATGTTTACTTGTAACAAAGATAGTCAAATATATTATTTAACTTTCTTAGCATACTATTTTAAATACAGATCAGAACAATTATCTTTTCTAGAAAAAGAAGAACTAAGAAAAGCAAAAAAAAATTATTAACTAAAAGTATTAGAACAACAAATAACCAAAATAACTGAAAAAAAAGAATTAATTAGAGTAGATATAGCAATACTACTAGTCATTACTTCAATACCACAAACAATAAAAATCAAAGTAGTAACAAGAAACACATTTAGAAGAACAATATCTGAAGAAAAATTAGCTTACTTAATAATTTATAGTCATAAATTAAAAGATTACTTAACATATAATCTAGCAGTACAGCAATCAAGAATTACTGAAACAAGAGTACAAGAACTTCTAAAGAACACCAAAATAATAAAACTACAAATCTATTAAAAGTGGCAGCAGAAGTAAGATTTCCAAGTTTGAAACTACTATATGAAATCAGAAACTTTAGTGGAGAAACAAGTGATTATATTCAATGAAGAAATAAATTAGAAATGAAATTTACAGAAATGAGTATAGATAACACATTAATTATATTCAGAAGATTTAGTAAAAATTCAGACTTAGGATACATCATGAGATAACCTAATTATGACTTAGGAGCAGATCAACCAAAAGCATATTGGAATATTAAATTTTTTAAAAGAATAAGAGCAATAATATATACAAAACTGCATGGAGCAACTAGAAGACTATTAACAACAAACTCAAATGTAAATTGTTACTTTAGAATAATAGCAAACCAAAATGAATTAAATACTCTAAAAGACCCATATAGTTATTCAATAACACCTAGATTTGACTATGCTCAAGATGATTGGTATGATTCAGAATTAGTAAGCAAAGGCCAATGCACATACCAAATACCTCAAATATCATTAAGAGAATTATTAGATAATGCATATCTAATAGATAAAATCCAACTAGGAAGATAAACAGACTACTAAAACCTAATATACAAACCAGTTTATAGTATAAAAAATGATGTTATCAATTTTAAAAATAGATATAAAGAAGCAATAACTTTATCAAACCGCTCATATGAAGGATAGAACCAAGAAGAATATGCAAAACAATTAAATATGATACTAATCAATTTCAACTACCAAATAATAGCAGAAAAACCAATAACTAAAGAAGCATGTTTTGAAGAACTAAATACTATATTTCATGTAAAAAGAAATGAAATAATTTCAAAAAAAGAGATCAAGACAAGATCAAAGATCAAAATCTATAACTTTAATAAAAGAAAACCAATAGATAAATATAAAGCTAGATGCTTTAAATGCCAACAATATAGTCATTTTGCAAGAGATTGTATTAATAAAAGAAAAGAATCTTTTAACCAATTCAAATTCAAAGAAATGCCAAAAAACTTTTCTAAAATATTCAAATAATCATGTCAATATTGCAAAAAGTTTCTATCAAAACATGAAAAAACATGTTCAAAAAACAATGAAAGATATTACAACAGATCAAGAAGTAACCAAATACAAATTGAAAGATACAATAATAATAACAGAAATAATAAAAAAAAACAACAGAAGAAATAATTGAAATAATAATCAAAATAATAACAATCAAAATTAATATAACAAAGGTCAAAAACTACCCAAAAAATATTATACTTATCAACTTGAAGAAAAAGAAAAGAGTTATAAAAAACATGAAAGAAATGAAAGAAGAAAACCAAGAAATAATAAAAGGGATTTCAAGAGAAAAGAAAATCCAAAGTAATACAATTATTACAAAAAAAAGATGATAAAGAACCTATAGCAACTTTCTCAAAAATATCTTCTTCCATAACATATCTTTTTTAAATAGGAACCTATATAGTGCTTAGGACAAACTCCTTAAGCAAGATAATGGCTGTGCTATAAAGCATATTAATATTCATAATATTAAGAAAGACCAAAAGTCTTCTAAAGAACATATCAATAATATCATATGTATTAACCAGAAAATATTAAATAAAAAAAAATATAACTCTTTTTGTAGATCACTTATACCAAAAACACAAAAAAAAACATTTAATTATTTCTCAACATTCTACTAAGTAAACCTTACTTGACCTCTTAAGTAAAGTTGTTCAGCACA